AGGGCTTATAGTCCCCCTTACGTAGATAGAATACAGGGTGTAGGGTTTAGGGTTTAGGATTTGTCAATTTGTGGGGTTTCGGGTTTAGGATTTGGGGTTTAGGGTTTAGGGTTTAGGATTTGGGGTTTAGGGTTTAGGCTTTGGGGTTTAGGTTTTAGGGTTTAGGGGTATAGCCTCCCTTAGGTAGATAGAATATCGGGGTTATATTGGGGCTATATCGGGATAATGGAAAAGAAAACGGAAACTACTATTTAGGGTTTAGGGTTACGGGTTTAGGGCTATAGTCTCCCTTAAGTAGATTATGGCTTTGGGTATATTATAATAAAACTCGCATATACTATACACCATATTCTATCTACTTAAGGGGGACTACAAGGCTTAAGATGTAGGGTTAAGGTTGGAGGTTTCATCTTTAGGGTTAGGGCTTTATGTTTGAAATTGAAAGATGGTTGAGGGCTAGGAGTTGGGGCTTAAGATTTGGGCTTCAGTTAGAAGATGCATGGTGCACGGTCTGAGGCTGAAGGTTTAAGATGTAGCTTATATAATCCTCATACAATGTATTCCGCTTATTCCCTAGTAACCCCCAGTAAGTAGAGGCCATCACATGAAAGTCAAGAAAGTCTAGGCAAATGCCTTGACTTCTGCAGCATTCCTCGCATGCCTACTGCTCACTTGCTCTTGACGAATCCTGCAACTTGGTGCCCTAAACCCTAAGCCCCAATATAACTCCCATTATAGTCCCGTATAACCCCCATTCTAGTAGTTTCCATTTTCTTTTCCATTATCCTGATATTAGCCCCAGAACCCTTATATACTCCCCATTATAGTAGTCTCCATGAGGCCACCTCTAAATTCTGCCTCTTAATGAGCTGCTCGACCCATCTAATCCCGTGTCCTATCCCGCAACGCCAGCCCAGATATCGAATTGACCATGCCTGACACTGACCACTTGCGTGTGTTCCGAAAGTTCAGACAACACCGCTTTGCCAACCAAAGAAGCTTGTACATTGCGCCTGTTGAGGCCACGAACGTTGGCCCTAATTCGCAATCAGAACATGATGTGAACGTCGAAGCCCTGAAAAAAGATACAAGTTCCTCATAGCATTTTAGATAGACAATCCCGCACAGCCCTAAGACTATTAAATCACATGCCCAGCATTTAGGCATCCAGTAGGTTGATGCAGGATTGTCCATCGATTGTATCAGCAGGACGGGCAGAATCCCATAATTCACTGCACCCCCCCCTCCCGGCTCAGTGCAGTGGATAAATGTCAGAAAATTTCGGTGGAACCTATTCTGCAAAATCTAGAAAGTATTGCCGCTTGAAGTATTTTGAGTAGGCACTGGGGGTGTGCAAAACGGAAGGCGTCTAATCTACAGCCCTAAACCCTAAACCCTAAACCCTAAACCCAAATCCAACGCCTTAGGAGCCCCAGCTGGGGGTTTCCAATAGATCCGCGTGGCTCATGTCTTACACGGGCTTAGTAGGGAATCAGGGAATATGTCATCTAGGGATTATATAGGGATAGGGTTTAGGATTTAGGGTTTAGGGTATATAGGGATCATCTAGGGATAATATGGGGACTGTATAAGGATCATTTTCCCTTATTCCCTATTAAGCACCAGTAAGATGTGATCTGGGAAGGTGCATGCGGCCTATCGTCAGAGTAAGGAAGTTGCTTTAGGCCATGCCATCCCGGCATGCTCTTGCATCTGGAATTTGGGTTTAGGGTTTAGGGTTTAGGGGTTTAGGGTTTAGGGCTTCATCATATATAGCTATATATGGCCCTTAATAACATGACCCCTAAAATAGAGTGTTGCAAGGTCGGGGCGGTACCAAAGATTTGGGCTTAAGATGTTGCGTTTAGGGTCAGGAGCCGGTCTTTGTAAAGGGGTTGCCATGGGGTATAAAGGTCCTTTAAAGTGGGGTCCTAACCAAAAATGGAACCTACCTTTTCCCAAAGGCTCCATGTAGCTATATGGTGTATACTTAGTGTTTAAAAGGGTTCCATATAATTACTTTAGGGCCCATATATATACCATGTAGCTACATGGGTTTGTCCATTCCTCGGACAGGTCTTTTGAACAATGAGTCGCAGCATTGTGGCTTCTTGCTGCATTAGGGAAAGCTGTGGGGACACTAATTTCACGAAATTCCAACGGATCTCTGCGCTTTACCCCAAATGTGCCTCTGAAACCTTACACCCTAAACCCTATTCCATCGCTGGCCCCTACAGCCCCCCCCCCAAGGTTTTCAAGTCCCAGAATCCCAAAACCCTTAACCCTAAATCCCTAAATCCTTAAATCCCGAAATCCCTAAACCCTCAACCCTAAATCCCTGGCTCCTTAAATCCCTAAATCCCTAAACCATCAACCCTAAATCCCTAAGGCCGGAACCCTGGATCCCCAAACCCCCAACGGCAGACCCAAACTCAAGGGATAACTTCCGGGTGCATAAGGGTGAGCGGGGGAACGGATGCTGAAGATGTTCCTTGAAGTTTAGGTGGACGCCACACCCTGTAGTAGTGGTATAGTAGGAGTATGGGAGGGTCCTGATATAAGCATCATTATCCCTTAGAGTCACTATTAATTATTGGGTGGGGATCCACCTAACCCATAGTTTTCAACCATAAGCTTAGACACCAAACAACATAGTGGTTTTCCTGTTCTTTTTCATTCTTTCCCTCAACACGAAGCACCCCAAGCCGTAAAGACCCCAAATAAGAAGTGAATTACGTACTCTCTCTCTCTCTGTCTCTCTCTCTCTCTCTATATGTATGCACACAGTTTCCTCTCTTAACTTCCTACATACTAGTAATAATCATAGTAACAATGGTAATAATAGGAATATACCATGCCAGGCCGAGGCAGCGTCAACGGAGCGCGCGCTTCGGATGTTGGATGCCCCCTTACAGGCCAGGATGCTTAACAGCTGGCGTGTTCTTGCTGGATTTTGAGCAGGGAGTGGAGGAATGGAAGCGAAAATGGAAACCACAGTACAACTTTGGGTCTAAGGTGTAGGAGATTTGAATCAAGACCTGGGTTTAGGGTTTAGGGGCTTTGCCGGCCCCCTACCCCTATACTATGGACCTACTAAGATTCGGGTTCAATGTTTTCAGGACTGCGGTAAGCCCAGCCCCCAACAGAAGGGACCGTATGGCAGACTAGAGTTAGAGTTAGAGTTTGTGCTTTGGGAAGGCGTGATGAAGAACCATTCTTAGGCGGCCTTACTGCTGCAACCTGACGCAGGTTAAACAGAATTTTGGAGAGGGAAGCGCTCCACCCTACACTTCACCCATAAACCCTAAACCCTTCAAGCACAACTCGGCGTTCAAGGGGCTGGCAGGTTTACGGTCGGCGCTTCATTTTCTGGTTCGTGGCTAGGCTTTGGGGTATTTACGTTTTTACGAGCTTCAGGGTAGTTGTGTCGGCTTTACATGAGGGGTTTATGGTTTAGGGTTTAGGGCTGAGGGATATTTTAGTCCACCAAAGAGTAAGAGTATGTTCTCTGTTTGGGCTGCGTAGTTTATGCCCAAAACCTTCAATTGCACCCAGTTCTGTGTTAGGACCGCCCAACATGGGCCGGCCCACAATCGCGCGGCCTCTTCCTTGTCTTCGAAGGCGGGCTGGGCTTGGATGGTTGGAATTGGCCCTAAAGTAGGACATCCCAGATCTACTTGTTCCTTGTTTTTGGATGTGTTTAGGGCTCAAGGGGATTGCTGTGCATGCTTGAAGGTTCATGGATACTTAGAAGTGGGATGACAAGTCGCCTAGGCCACGAAGTAACTAGACGTATCCTAGGTATACCCCGACTGAAAACTAGTTATGCTAAGCTCCACCCCCACGTATGACCGTATAACTATAGCAGGTTCCACTCCGCATTTACTAGAGCTATCATAGGTAAAGCCCCTCACCCTAAACTTTACAGCCTTATCAGATCTAAACTTTACAGCCTCATCAGATCTACCCAGAAAGGTCTGGATCGAAGCGGCAAGTCCACACAGAGCAAGAAGATTGCCTCGCACCTGGAGAAGGCTTGTGCGTCTGAGGGTCCTTTTCTGACATCGCTTTTTTTTCAGTTTGTTTTGGGGTATTCAAAGCGTGCTGTAGGAACACTGAAGCCCCTAAGTTTCTCCAATAATCCATGTTTTGATTTAAGGCTCAGAGCTTAAGTGGCCTATACAAGTGGACAGGTAGAGAGTCAGTAATGGAATCTTCTTCCTTTGTGCTTAGTAGGGAATCTAAGAGAGCTGTAACATTTAGGGCATAGGGTGCAGAATCCTTTCAGGCAGGTATATGAGCTATAGTCTAAACTCCAGGTATCCCCCTTAATATCCCCTATACTGGAGAATCAAATGAAAAAGAAAATGGAACATGAAATGGAAGCTGGGATTATATAGGGGGATTATAGGTATTATAGTCTACACTCCTAGTATCCCCCTTAATAACCCCTGTAGCAGTTCGCTATATAGTCCGCTATGTAATCCCCTTTAGGGAGTTTAGATTGTAGCGGGACGACTACGGGGATCCATCCCCTCATTCCCTGCTAAGCGCCAGATATACTTTGCGCAATCGTACGAAATGGGTAGTTCCCAAAATTGAGGGTACCTGTTTGGGTGGGGGTCCCTACACCACGGTATGTAGGGGTCTATATTTGGGTCCCTCTATTTAAGGAAACCACCAAAGTGTCCTTGACTGCCAGGCAGGCCCCGTGAAGTGGATGTGCTTCCCAAATCGAAAGACGGCCATCGGCCACACCATCGACCTATACCTGCGCAGGCCACAGCATTTCGATTGCAAGGTGGGGGTTTCCTAAAACAGGGGTCCCTGCCACGCGCTGAGGCCCAAACAGGGACCCCTGAGTCTTGGAACCTCCCAGGTCTAAAGAATCTGAGAAGAACCCCTTCCGCAGCAGGCAGCTGGAGCTTTCGGACGAAGTTGTACACCGGCTGTTTAGTGCTTCTCCGGCGCGTTTGGGGTTCAGGGGTTACATAGGGGTTGGGGGGATTAGGCTTTGCGAGTGCATGGTTCAAGGGATTAGGGGTAAGAGATTTAGGGTTTAAGGGTTTACGCTTTTCTAGATGGGTTGTCAGTAGGTGTTAGGTGCTCGAGGAACGGAATTCTACAGTAGTTCCATATACTCCACAATGTAGTTTCCATGTTTCTTCTTTTTTCTTCTATTCCCTAGTGACAAGCAGCAGATAACCACCGCGCCTTAATATTGAACGCTGCCCCCCTAATATGAAATACCCTCAGATGAGCCTTCATATTTTGGGTTTGAGGTTTAGGGTCCAGGGCTTAGGGTCTTGGGCGTATTTGGGATTACGTCGTGAGTATATGGATCCATTCCCCCATGCTGAACTGCGCAGGAATAAGTCAAATGGCTTCTTCCAGGGGACCAGATTGGACTTGCTTGATTTCTTAAGATTGGGGCCCCTTAAGGACCCGAGAAAAGAGTAGATGGGTATTAAGAAGGGGACTCCAGTGGTCCGCCCTCAGCATTATCTAGGGCTAGGGTCCGATTGAGAAATTCCCCGACATTTCTAAGGGTCCACAACCCTACTGTAAACCCTGAGCCCTAAACCCCACACCCCAACCCCTAGACCCCAATCTCCAAACCCCAATTATCCCTTATAGTTCCCATAGATTTCTCTACGGGATCCTATAATTTCTATGTATCCTTAAAATCCCCCTATAATTGCTTTATGTATCCTTAGAATCCCCTTCATAATTCTCATATGAGCTATAGTCTAAACTCCTTGTATCCCGCTTAGTAACCCCTATAGTAGTCCCCTAGAAAATCCCCTATATAGCCCCCCTTTAAGGAGTTTAGACTATGGCTCATATATCCTCATATTTCGGAGGGACTTGCCAGGCCAACCGCTGGGAGATGGCTGAGGCCATCGTCCAGGTGGGGGATTTTCGGATTGAAGCGGTTTAGGGTGTAGGGTTTAGGGTTTAGGGGCTTGACGAGCCCTCTCCGGCTAATAGTTTAGGGTCTAGGGGTTTAGGGTTTAGGGTATATATAGGAGTATGGAAGAGACGTGCCATATTGTGTAGGGTTCAGGGTTGAAGGGTTGACATTAAGACCGTCACCCCCTAATGTTGAATATTCCCATGGCGGTTTACTATCATGGCGAGGGAATATCTACAATTCGGGGGGTGTGGGGTGTCCAATATGTGGGCGATGAATTCGAGAAGGGGATGGAGGTGCGGAATATTAGATGTTATTATACCCTGCCATCTCATCCCCTATGATACTGTACCACAATATGCCATACAGTATACCATCAGTATACCGCTGCCATAAGGGAAGCAAGCTTCAAATTCTTCAGGACTCTGCAACATGCGCTCTGTCCCTCGTCCCTGGTGCCTTTGCCAGGACCTGCACGCAGGGACCACGATCGTCTGTGACCGCTACGCCTTCTCGGGCGTGGCCTATTCTGCAGCGAAAGGACAGCCAGCATTTTCTCCATTCTGTTGCGTTCAGGTTTTTCACCCAAGCCCTAGACCCAATCCCCTCAACCACCCCAAAACCCTAAACCCCACAAACCCCCCAAAACCCTAAACCCCAAACTCTAAATCCCAACCCCAAAGCTCTAAGCCTCATACCCCCCCCTCCCAAGCCATCAGCGCAGGAATGGACTTCACTTCGTGCCAAGGTCCAGACCGAGGGCTCCCCTGCCCAGATGGGGTCTTCTTCATGCACATCGATGAAAAGGCGGCCAAGCGGTTAAGGGCTAAGGGTTTAGGGTTCGGGGTTTAGGGTTGAAGGCTTGGGGTTTAGGGTAGTTTAGGGTAGTTTAGGGTAGTTTAGGGTAGTTTAGGGTTTAGGGTTGACTGCGAACATCACTGTAATTGGGGTCCTCCATGTAGGATCCCCGAAATGGTAGGGCTTCATTTGACAGAAGCAGAAGCAACAAATTAACACAATTCTGAAAACCCATCATCCCTCCCAAATTATTTTCTCTGTGGCTGTCCCACTTGATACGGATGGAGTAATATACTGTTTATTAAGGGGGATACTAGGGGTTTCGACTATAACCCCAAACCCTAAGCCTGAGGGGTTTAGATGATAACCCTAAACCCTAAACCGAAGGGGTGTAGATTACAACCCTAAACCGTAGGGGTTTAGAGTATAGCTCAAGCGAACGTGTACCCCGTTGTAGCGGCTTTCCCGAGGTAGGCGCGGCGCGGTCCAACTTCGGCGACGAGCGCTACGAGAATGCGGCCATGCAGGCGCACCAGGGTGGCTTCAAATCTGGGGCTTGAAGCTTCCATTGTATTTGCTGGTTCTTAGTAGCGAATAAGGATCCCTATATAACTTCAATGGAGTAGATTCTCTTGTTCCCCAGTACGAACCAGTAAGTTTTAGAGCTCTCTATAGCGAGGATTTCGCTAAACCCTAAACCCCAAACCCCAAACCTTAAACCCTAAACCCTATACTAGGCCCAGTTCAGTGGACCACTTGCTGGCCCAATGCAAGGAGACTTTGAGATTTTTTTGCTGGAGTGGAGGAATGGAGCCTCATAGTTGCCCTTATATGAGCTGTGGTCTAAATTCCTTAAAGGGGGTTATATGGGGTCATAGGGGAGTATTTTGGGAGTTGTTAAGAGGGCATTCGGAGTTTTGGCTATGGCTCATCTTATCCACAAGCATTTAGTCTTTTTTTTCTTCTTCTTCCTTCCCTCGCAACAATCAGCAAGTTTTTCGAGAGGCCAACGTCCGCGAGCAGTTCAAGGATCAGCGCCTACGCGGCGGTGTTAACTGGCGAGACGTGGATGGGGCCAGGGATGTTGAGGCAGACTCCGTCGAACTGTCTTTTACATGTGATCTCCACTTCCAGCCGGTCCTTATGATAGAAGCTCCTGTCTTTGCAGGGGTGTACAAGCCTAAACCCTAAACCCTAAACCCTAATGTTTTAGACCAAAACCTTGATATTGCGACCTGTATGCGCAACATGGCTGAGTTAATTCCTCAGCAAAATCTCTACACTCCCAAAGGGGCACCCCTACATGAGCTATTGTCTAAAGGGGGTTACATAGGGGATTATTTAGGGGAGCATTATGGGGGTTATTGAGGGGGATGGAGTTTAGACTGTAGCTCATAGCGGGATTCTGAGGAATGGGGGGTGGGTCTGGGATACCCTAAAGTATACTTTGGGGTTCTTCTCAAGTTGTGCTGGTATGGCATTATGTGTCCGTGGGTAGGAAGAAACCTAAGTTACGACCAGGTACCATCCTACACTTTCTTCTTACTGCCTGTTTAGATGCCACTGTTCTTTTGCAATAGACCTACCTGGATGGACCCGCATGGGTTGATATTGCAGCATGTGAGCTACAGTCTAAACTCCTAGTATTTTCCTGATTAACCCCTATGATGCTCCCCTATATAATCCCCTATATAACCCCCCCGAGGAGTGTAGACTATAGCTCATGTGTGCCTAGGACAAATTAGGTGTACTCTGACTTGGTGATTGCTGAGCAGCCGTGCGCAACCGTAGACCCGAAACAGTGTATAGGTTGGGAACTGCCCAACTCAGTAACACTTGGAGAATATTCATAATATCAAGATATAGAGCGCCAATTATGATCCCTATTTAGACAAGACCCAATGTATAGGAGATGTTTCAGAATACTCCAGATTCCTTGGCGCATGTTCTCCGTTGTGCACCAAACGCTTTACCATGTCTGGGTTAGTGTGGGCTAGTCCCCGTGTAGTCCTTGATCCCCTCTTTAAAGTCCATGCACATCCCTGGAATCACAGTTGGTCGAGAAATCCCCATTTGCCATTGGGTTAGGGCCACTGAGCGCAGGTGATCCACTCCGAAATCCGAGATGCTGTCGACGCCATGCTGCAGAAGGAGATGGGGTACATTCTTGCAGAAGGGTTCAGGGTCTAGCGCGGAGAGTTAAAGTGTAACGGTTTGTTGAGAAGGTTTGTTCCTCAGGGTTTAGGGTGTAGAGTTTGGAGTTTATGGCAAAAGTCTGTTGTTCAGAGTTTAGGGATAGGGTGCGGAACAATCCATCATGAACTAGGGCTTTACGGGGAGTTTTTCTGCATTTGGGGCCATCTGTGTACAGCTTATGCTCATATGAGGCCTATGTGAAGCAACACAGACCCTCAAGTACTACGTATCCAGTCCTTGCAGGGAACTTACCCCCTAAACCCTAAACCCTAAACCCTAAACCCTAAACCCTAAACCTGCTTTCCCCAAATGGTAGGACCCCAAGACAGACCTCAATATTTTTAGTTCATTGTAGGAATCCTCAAAAAGGGATCCCCCAATTTTGGGAAACCACCCACTTTGGTCAGTAAGGGCGTAGTTGCTGGGCCTAAACCCTAAAACCCATCATAGTAGATTCCATTCTTTTCATTATCCTTATGTAACCCCTATATAGCCCCTATATAACCCCTATATAATCTCTACCTAATCCTGATCCCTTATTTCATACCCAGGTTGACGTGCAGAGCACATTTTGCAGACGTGAGGTCATCTAGCAGGAGGGTTGAGCGGGCTTCATAAATTTGTAGCGCAGTTTATAACTAGGGTTTAGGGTTTAGGGTATAGGGTTTCATACATCTGTAGCCCAGTCATAACTAGGGTTTAGGGTTTAGGGTTGGGGCCCCCCATCCTTTAATAGTGCAGGGTAGGTCCTCCTACGTTATAGCCATATCAGGGGACTTTGGGCGATTAGGAGAGGGCACAAATCAGCCTGAACTTTTAAGTTCGTGATGTTGTTTCCCTCCTATTAGATGACAGCGAGCAAATAATAGCAAAATAGATCTGCGTGGTCATTGCAATAGCGTTGTGCTGGTAGTTGAAAGATCGTTTTGCATGGTATATCCCCGAACCACGACCGTCAAGGACTTTCAAAACTTGACCCCTAATCTTCACAAATCCCCTACTGGCTGGTCAGCAGATCAGCTGGAGACCCGTTTCCGAATCATCTTTGACGTGCACTTTGCAGTGCTGCTTGCAAGCGATTGTAAGGAGAAGCACGTAATTTATGCTACATGGGCCAGTAGTCGTGAGCTGGTAAGTAATCGACACCTCTTAAGTTTCACCCTGCGCGGCCACTTGACCCAAAACCCCAAACGCTGAACCGCTTTGTTGCGGAGTGTTCTGCATGTAAGCGAGGTGTTGATTCAGGTTGTGATGAGGGCGATTGCTTTTTCGCCAGGAGTTGAGACATTTGCCTTCACAGTGTGTCGGCCCCCAACCTGTCAACCACTTGCACAACCGAAGCCCAATCTCAAGCAGCAACGCAGTTCAATAAGACATGACTCAGGAAATTTGATAGCCAAGCAGTTTCCAAGTCTGTAATCATTCCCCAACCCCATCTGAAACGGCCTTGACAAGACGTTTGCACACATGCACTTTGGTGTTTAGAGTTTAGGGTTTAAGGTTTAGTTTTCAGGGCAAGGACTTTTGAAACTTCCTCCTCTTTTTCCATGCGCCTACGAATGAAGGAGCGACGGACGCAGATGGTGGAGCAGCTGTGGATGTAGGGCAGTCCTGGGACAGAACCTCCTGCCCCTGAAAGAAAAGGTAGGCAAGCACGGCAAGCACAGCAATGTTTTTTTGTTCAGGAGGGGTTTGGGGTTTGGGGATGGCGGCTTGCGGCCAGTGGTTTTGCAGGGCTTAATGGCAGGCTACTAGTTACTACAGAGAGCTGCGTGACTCAAACTCCTTTCAATTGGACATTATGAGGAACCTGACTGGGGTCCCATGTGGTGGGTCCGGCGCCCTGCTTAGCAGTCCTTAGCCAATCCTTTGGCCGACTGGCGCTTCAGCTTAGAGTCATGTATAAAGGTAGCGAGCACAGAATGGAGGAATGGATGCCTGCGGAATTCACACATTCCCTTATGATAGTCTCACATCGTCTTACTCAATTCCCTATCATTGAGGACGCGGCATGGGGCTTGAACTGCGTAGCCCCACCTGCTAACTACCTTAAACCCAACACCCAAAACAATGTAGTTCTTTTCAGTTCACCTCCTTACTTTCCTTGGGTCACCAGTGAGCCGAAACAACATGAAACTCCGGCGGCACTTTCTTGGAATTGGGGCTTAGGGTTTAGGTTTTTGGGTTTAGGGTTCAGGGTGCCAATATGGGCTGACAAAATAGGGCATGAGTATGAATGGGAAGTATTTGGAGGCTTTTGGTGAGGATTCTTGATTGCATTGATTTGGGATTTGAGTCTGTTTGTAGGGAGTGTGGGAAGGGAGAATGGACTGTATGGACCAGTGCGGGGGCCTAAACCCTAAACCCCAAGGGTTGAGGGGTCCTAGGAAGAATGCAGTGCATACAGGCTTGGCCTGGGAACTGCTCCTCCCCTCCCCCCACGGAGTTGGCAAACGCTGAAACAGGAAGAACTGGTGAAACTCAGCTCGGAAGTCGGCCGGAAACGGTCGGGGGGCGAGGGGAGGGAAACGTAGACAGAGAAGTTACGACGGCAGAATCCAGGATCCTTTTGCAGTTATTTATGCAAGGTCCACAATTCTCTCCGGTATCTTCCGATTATCCTTGAAAGGAAGCTTCTCAAAATTCTTCCTTAGAACTCCCAATCGGGACTCCATAGACAACATCCTCCCTGTAACCTAAGGGGGGAAATCGTTGGCCCTCACCAGCACTATGTAGGCTGTGAGAAGGATATCTGCTTTCCTCTGGAGTAGGAGGCCAGCAATGCTCATCTAGGTTTCCTTCCAGAGCATGGGTCAGACGCCTCTGCCATAGAGGATTGGCCACAAAAAGGCAATGCCGCCGTTGATGGCTTTTACAGCCGCAGTAGCAGAAGGCACCATGGCCAGCACTGTCATTCACTTAAGCTTCCGAACTTCCTCTGCGTCATGTTCAGCGCACCGGAAAAGCCAGTCCGCATGGCTACTCGCTTTCGATTTAAGATGTGGAGTTTTGGCACACATCAAACAGATAACAGAAGCCCAAAAGATAGCCTCCTATGCCCAGCTATATAACAAGGCTGAAAGAAAAAGCGCTTACCTCAGACTCAGACCAGCCCAGCCCATGCAGTCCATACTGTAGAAGCCGGAAAAATTACCGACACTATTCGCCTTACTTAGCACAAACTGGCATCTTCCTTGAAGTCGTCCTATCATGATTTGCACTGAAAGAGCCCTTGAGGGATGCAGCTGTAGGCATTAGGAAAGCCAGTGCTTGAGAATCAAACTGGCCTGCCATGGCGTGGTCCTTCTGCTGGAGAGCACTATTGCTACTGTGGCCAGTGTGGGCCCTAGGGGCTAAGGATGTGCCGGCAGTTCTAAATGTTTTTGTAAAGAACTGGCCAGGGGGAAGTGCACTTCCTTAAAGGGGGATCCTCGCCAAAAGGGAGCCTACTTTATGGCCATTTGATTTGGGCTTCAGGATTTATGTATGCTTTAGGATTCGGGTTTGGAAGTCTTCTTGTCAGGAATTTGCGATTTGTCATTGCGCGCGTGGGGGGCAGGATCGGGGGCAAGATGTTCAGTGATGGTGTGGGGTCTTGGGGGGCCTTCTTAAACCCTAAACCCGTTTTACGGGTTAATATGGTGTGAATCCTAGCGGTTAGCAACTTGAGGTACTCGCCGGGACATAGCTTTCAATAGCAAAGGGAAGCCCCAGAACTAAGCGGATCTGAGTTACAAGGATCCGTAGAACATGGTTCATTCCAGATATCTCTCTGTGTCGTGCATAGCTGCCACTGATCCCAACTTACAGATCCAGATAATCCCCCCTCATAATGATAATGTTGAACAGTGCAGCTATTCCTGGAAAGTCTCTTACAGGGAATGCTTAATGTCAAGGCTGAGGTGGTGTTTCGAATTTGGGGTTAGGGAAAATTCCGATTTCATGTACAGGTGCCACACCAGAGCAGGTTGTTTGTCTTATTGGATTTAGTAGGGACTCAGGGAATATCATCATGGGATTATACAGGGATTATATTCCCTAGGTCGTTGCTATTCCTTCAGGGGGCGGACCGGCAGAATCGGCTCAGAAGTACGCATGCGAAACCATGAAGAATCTTTAGTTCTGAGTTCGTTGAAAGCCTTACGTCCTACACCCCAAGCCCCGCTCCAGCACCCACACCCAGAACTCTACACCAACCCTAGAGCCCGAACCCAACCGTTTGGTACTCAGCAGCGGGAGCTTTTGAAAACAAAGGTCATTTTCACGGGTCCTGTAATAGGTTTACAGCACGTTATGGTGTGTAAGGGGGACCCTCATCTTCCTAGGGACTTTAGGAGGGACCCCTAATAGGGACCCTTAATCCCATTACCATATATATGCCTTATATAGTCATTATATAACCCNNAACCCCCATAAGCTAAAAGGGTCCCTGTTAGGGGTCCCTCCTAAAGTCCTTAGAATCTTTGGCAAGCCCTGAACTCGAAACCCAAACCTTGGCCAGGCTGCCAGTTTCGACCTTGGAGGTCTCCTGGGTAGTGGGCAGTCTGTGCCGGAGCCTCAGCGGTTTAGGGCTTAGGAAATGGGTTCCGGGGTTTCCCTTAACCCCAAACCCTAACCCGGGCAGGTGGGTTTCGGGTAGATGCCCAAGTAATTGATAGATATTGTGCTCCTAGATTCCTTGTACACTTCTGGTGTAGAGTACCTCAAGTAGACCTCTAGATGATATTGGCAATTCTTCAGGCTTCTACATGCAATCTTCTTACTGGGGGCCAGTAGGGAATAAGGGCATATTATGTAGGGATTATGTAGGGATTATACCCGACTAAGCACCAGTAAGTCATCCCTAGTACCACAGGCAGGGAGTTGAAGGGTCCGGTGTGCTGGCTTGAGGCCAAGGTCTTTGGCAGTTTAGAGGTTTGGGTTTGGTGGGGACTTGATGAGTTCTGGGTTTGGGGATTTTGTGACTTGGTTACGCCTGTTGTCAGGTACCCCGGTTTGGGCGGCGCTGCCTTGTTGAAGTTTTGGCCGGAGAAGCAAATGTGTCTGGCGTTATTGCAGGGCTTACTGCAGGTCACGTGGTGATGTCAAGCTGACTCTGGGAAGTCTTCACCGCGAACCTTTGGCCCGCACCGACCGCTGAGCTGCGGGAGTAATCTTCGCTCTATGTCCTTATCTCTATATCTCTTTATGCCTTCCCATACCTCATATATCTTTCTCAGCCGTATGGCCTCAGTGAACAACCTTTGGCTGGAGGAGCCCGATTTCTTCTTGCAAAGAGCACATGTGTAGCTCTCAACGCGTCTTTCTGCACCGGGTGTCTCAAAAAGCCCGGGGTCCCATCATACCCGTGAACCTTCAGGTATGTCGAGGATTACCCTTGTTTGTCTCCATTAATCTGCAAACCATACAGCGGGCATGAAAGCCAGAACGATGACGGTCTGCGAAATTTGCATGTTTTTACTACGACCCATGTCCCCTGATGCCGAGGGAGAAGCAACATGTTCGTAGCTCAGAAACGATGAGCTGCTTTGGGGTTTGGGGTTTGGAGAAGGGGTTTAGGGTTTCGGGTGTTGGGTTTAGGGTCTATGCTGGGCTATGGTTGAAACCAGTTGGCAGTGTAATCAGATTCAATCCCTATGCGATCTTCTGGATTTGTTCATTCTTTCAACGTCTTAAGGCGCAAGTGAAGGTGCTGTAGTTGTAGCTTGGAATGGTGGCATGCACTGTGGTTCAGATATTAGAGTAATCAATGTGTGTCCCCTGTTGAGTGACTATCCTCTCGTACGTAGTCCGAATGATACAGCTTCGCATACTTAGCATATTCAAGCCCAGAAAGGAGTGTACAGTCATATTTTCAAGATCTCAATAAGTGTCAATAAGGAACCACTGCTAGTTCAAATGTATTTGTGGAGGGTACATAGCGCTGATGGGGGATGCCGGAGACATACTGCCTAGGCTCACGGCGCTGTGTCTTGCATGAGGGTTTAGGGTTTAGGGGTTTAGGGTTTAGGGTTTAGGGTTTAGGGGTTTAGGGTTTAGGGGTTTAGGGTTTAGGGTTTAGGGAAGGGCTGAAGTTTGGGGTTCAGGCCCAGAAATCGGGGTTTTAGGGTTCAGAGAGTTGGAGATTCTGCTTCAGCGTAGGGCCGATGGGGGGATCGAGGGAAAGTGTGGTACTGAAGAAAGCTGCTGCGCCCTGCGGTCGAAAGCCTTACTTTCAGGCACCATGGAAGTAAGTAGTATGTCTTAGGAGGACCCAAACCCTGTAATAGTGGTATAATGGGAACATAACAGGACCTTAATGTAGTTACCATTATCATTATAGTCACTATTACAGGGTGGGGGGTCCACCCAAGAAATGGCATGGGTTTACGGGTTCCAGCTGGGGTTCAGGGTGAAGACTTTGATCGCTATGCTTCATGTTGAGGGGGAAGAGCCCTAGCTACCTCGAATTTACATATCGGAGGTCAAAATCAACTTGTGACCAAAACCAAACCTCGACCCCCCATCAGTAGTTCTGGAACTTCTTTGTGCGTGTAGTAAGTCTTACAACAAGTCTACAGGCTGTAGATGAGTTGACGGGCAAGAACTTCAAGGACTACATGAA